CGGTCGATAGGAAAGACATAAATTTGCAGATTTCATTTAATGTATATTATTTGTATAAATTATGTTAGCTGCAATATAGATGTTTAGTAATTTTGAGTGAATTCTGGTCAATAATGACAATAACTATTTTTTTAAGTTAATAACAATATTTCCTAATTATATTAAATTATGTATAACTGTTTGCAGTTATAGTCCATATAGTCTTATATCATATTTCGCTAGAGTAGGTATACAGAATGCTTGCTGCAGTTTCTGTTATATTGAACATCTTAGTGCTATGCATACAACAAGATAGGCCAATTTGTGTATAATATGATGATAATAATTGATTGTTTTAAGTTCATGCATTTAATTATCGGATATTATTATTTTTACTAGAAAATCCATATGTTTGATGTGGACACCAAACAGTGGCAATTACTTTCGGCCAAACCCGACCACAGGGTGCCAGAACCTGGTTATCCGATTGACAGATGCTTTCTTGCCTGTGCCCAATATCCTGAGAAAGCTAACTTGGTGTATATATGTGGTGGTTTTGATTGTTACCATCCCCTCAAAGACTTTTGGCGTATTGATTTTGACACCTTGCAATGGGAAAAACTCACCCAGTGGATAGTGCCTCAGCCAGTATTCTTACACTCAACTGCTATAATACCTTCTGGTCGTATGTATTGTTATGGTGGCATAGAGTCTGAAAATGATATAGATTATGGAATCATATCTTTAGACACTTTTAGTAGTGGATGGATTAAGATACCCAAATTGAAAGACATATGTTGGGAAGCAATGCATTACTATTTCAAAGAACAGATGTTTAAGTCTACTGATGAGTGTCTAAAGAAAATTGGTATACCTCAAGAATACTATGAACGGATAATTGAAGCTCGTAGAATTCGTTAAATTTATTTGATTAAAAAAATACATTACTTCATTAAAGTTTTCTAGAACCTTAATATTGTTAATATTAAATAAATATTTTTGATGGTTTTATAAAATTCTTTTTTGTTTTTTCATCTCCGTTGTATTATTTTACATAATAAACTATGAAATTTATAGACAAATGGTGTTATAAGTTATAACCATAAAATATATAATCTAATGTTTTAAACATGATTTAAGTTTGTTAATTGTTCTTTTTTATTATTTTTATAAGAATTGAAAAGAATTATTAGATATAAATTGTAATTTGTATAAATCTAACTTAAACCAGGTTAACTGATCATCATAATTATTGTAATTTTATATTTAACATATTACAATTGTTCAAAACTAATGTGGTGATGTATTCCTATATGTATTAATGTAAAATAATAAAATTAATTTCCAACATTTGATGAATTTTGTGTCAAATTAAAAAAAGTAAATTAATAATATTGTATTTTATATCAGGCTAACCTAATTTTGAGTTACAAAATTGACTGGGGGGGAGAAAGATTCCAAATTACACCTTGTAGTGTAATCCTCTTCAGTTTTGAAACCCAAATTTGGTATGGCATTCATAGGATTGAATATTATACTCAAAAAAAAATTTCATTATACATGAATTTTGTATAACTAGATACAATATACAAGATTCATTGTGAGAAAATAAAAGATATAGAATATCAGTTAAAATTTTTTAAAATTAACTTTCTAAATATAATTTTATTATAAAATATTACAATACTTGCATATGTGGTGGACCTACATGGCTACACTCATAATATCATAGAACAACAATATTGTTAGTTAGTGGATTCTAATTTTTATAGTACGAAAAATTCCCTTTCAGTTCTTAACTATGTTAGTTGATATGTAAAATTTAATCGCATAATATGTTTTTTAGACTACCTATCTTATAAGTACAACAAAGACAACAATGTAACATTTATTATAAGTATTGAATGTTCTGAAACATGCAGATCGAAATCAAAATTCTATAATTTGTAAATACTAAAACAAACAATTATGCAATACAAAGCAGGTATCTTTTGAAAAATAAGTAACATGAAACTACTATAATAGTATAAAATGTATAGTGATATATGATACTTGATACATACGAAATATGTATCATGGTACAAGATACAATTGTATTTTTGATACATGTATAATATGTAACTGTGATCCTGCCCAGCCCTGGGTATCTGCTAGCAAGTTGTGAATATTAGATAAATGTTTAATTCCTATACAATTTATTATAAATGAAAGGTTATTATATCGTAATAAACAAAAATTAGTACATAGTTATGATTTTATGAAGTTTCTAGTTTGATGGCTAAACTTATAATAAATAGTTTGAAATTAATTGAATGCATCATTCAATTTTGTTTGAACGTTTATCCCCGAGTATAACAATGTACTTTTTTAAGGGTTTCCTATAAATCCCACCAAAAATGAATTAGTAAAAAAAGGTCCATGGTAAAATCCACTCCAAAATGTTGTAGATATAGTATTAGTGTATGCAAATTCTGTCCAAAATCTAAAATTAATTTAGATAACTAACAGTTAAATGTTATACAGTTTAACCGTTTAAAATTAAGTTATACGATCAAATGCATTTCAACCCACCGACGATACCTAATCCATGATTGTGATTTATGTTTAATTTGATACTTATGTTCAACTATGTTCACTTATGACCGCAAGATTCAATATAAGAGTTGGATATCAAGTGGTGTGCAATAATAATGCCTATTTATTATCGTTTCGATGTTTCAATGCTCAAATAAATGTGAGACACATTTTTTTCTTTTTACAAATTACTGACAATTCCTTATATTTATAATTAGAGACCGTATTTATATGCGCTTAAAATCTTGAAAATAAGATACTTATCTTTGCTCTATAATTTCATCAAAATAATCTGTTTTATGCAAAAATATTCTTTTATGACAAAATTTTCTTTGTCATAAAAATGTACTAAACACTGAACAAACAAATAAAATTAACAGTTTATAAAAATAAACAGTTATATTTAACTTATAATAATATGGTGATATACTGCCATACTGGTGTACCTATATTCAACTGTTGTAACACAAACTTATGAATTAAAAAAATAATAATACTAAATTGAAAAATAAAAATAAAAAATAATTGCATATATGTACATAGACTCTAGCATATTACTGAACATATTTTAAAAGGATGCTAAATATTATTTTATTAACAGAATAATATTATGTATTCAAACTCAAACTTAAATAATTCAGCTTAACGAACTCAAATAATAATAATAATAAGTTTTAAATAATAAAAATAAAATTTTTTTTATTATCTATTAGATTTTTATAAAATATTCAAATTTGGATCCAACATGGCAATATATTTGTAGGACAAGTTTTTTACTCAAAATATTCTTTAACCTTTATATATTTTTTTATGGTTTAAAAAATGATGTATATCAGTTCATAGGTAAATGAATCGTCGAGAAAGCTTAGCCAATTGGAGCTGCATACTCTCAGTAAAGATATTTAAAAACATGAAAATCCGGTCTCTATTTATAATTATTTCTTTTAAGTTGAACAGTGTTCTGTTTTTAAAATGGAAATTATTTTGCTGTTCATTATCTTTTAGTTGCCCGTGTTTATATCTTAACTCACCTTACTGACATTCTCTGAAGGGTATAAACCATAATCAATGTGTACTTATAGAATACTATGCAGGAGTTTTGGAAGTATTGTTTTGATTTAGGTGAATGGAAAATTATCAATTGCAAAAATGTTACTCAGGAAATAATATCTAGTCCAGTTACACTATATGGTAACATTATTGTTCTATATGGAGGTACTGGAGTTCTATCTGGAGAATTTTATAGCAACCGCATGTACTTGGATAATATTTTAATGACACAACTTACATTATAATGAAAATTAGTAAAATTATTACACAATTTTAATGATTCTAGGAAATTTAGCCAATGAGTATAAAGAAAATGGAATGAGCTTTGTAGATTTAGAAGAGTCTGGAGATTTTAATTTATCATTATATGGACTAGGTGTCCTAATGGATGGTAAATATATTTATTCAATTGGTAACACATCTGGTTACAAAAATGAGATGGATGTTCATCGATTTCATCTGAGTACAAGAAAATGGGAGTTGTTTATAAGTCAGTAATAGGGAAGGTCAAGACCAGTGTTGAGATTATCTAGATAAATTTATCTAGATAAATTATCTAGATAATAAATTACTTTATTTTATCTTATCTAGATAAATATTTTCTAAGTTATCTAATGCTTATCTGAGATAAAATAAAAACGTATCTAGATAAATTTATCTAAGATAAACAATTTGATCAAAAGTTTAAACATCCGTGAACAGTATTTGGAACTGTCATGTAATAATAATTAAAATTAATAAAACTATTCTGGAAGAGCGTTCTTTAAATAAAATTCATAACAGTTATAATACATATTAAAGAAAAAAACCATTTTATAAATAAATGAGAATATTTCAACGAAATGTCTAAATATAGATTTTATTGACAACGCTGCGCGCCGCGCCGCCCGTATGTCAATTGTACTATGCGACGGTGGCGGCGGCCAGCGTTCGGGAAGGTTTAGTGGTGGGAATGCGCGAGATCGGACGAATTTTGGTCGCCGCCCAAAAGTACTCTCTCGTTGGCTGGAGTATATACGGGCTTATACTTTAATAATATACTGTTTAGTCGAATTAAGTAGTGTGTATGTTTTCGGTTAATTTGATAACTGCCAATTTATATTATTCACTAATCAGTAATCACTAATCACTAGCTATTTCACTGTCCTCAAAAACTTTAATATTATGGTCATACTAGGACGTATTTATACCTACTATCTATTAGAATATTATAATTTATAAAATATTAAATACTGCTCGTCCAGTCATCTTATTGTTAGGTATTTTATACTAAAATCATACAATTTTAACAAATTTCGAAGTTCACAGTAAGTATTAACATCAAAGTTATAATTACCGATAACTTTAATATTATACATGTGTTTTTTTTCTAATAATTAAGTATTCAGATGTCAAAAATGGATAAATTTGTTATCAAAAGCAAAAAAAGAAATCACAAAGAAATAGAAGAAAGTGAGGATAATCTTTCAAATGCTCAAGCGCAATCGATCACAGCTGAACCAAAATTTAAATATTTATTTGGCGAATTTTATAAACTTGTTTCCATCAATGGTTCAAAATTAACAGCATTGTGCCAAAATTGCCCGAAAGTTGTTAGTGGATCCACAAGTTCTAGTGGAAACTTGTTGAGCCATATTAAAGTGAGTTTTTAGTATAATAATATGTACCTACATATTTCTATTTTTTAAATTTTCTTTTAATTAAAAATAACCATTTAATATTTATTACTTATTACTATTTATAATTATCTGCTACATATTATAGTATATACCTACCAATTTTATGGTTTATCTACTAAAGTATGAGTTATAGCCTATAGGTATTATAGTGATTTAGTTACATTTTACTGATGTTATTTTAATCTAATATATAATAATAAACAAATGTAGTATCAAAAACAGAGACAAAAAATAAAATAAATGAAAAGTATCATGCCTGATTACAATTTACAAATACATAGATTGACCTATTCAGTGGTGCATATACCATATACAAACCACAACCGCTATGGTACCTTTAAAGATTTTGTTGGGGTGGGTGTCCATGCCTATGTAAATTATTAAAAAATATAAGTTATTTATTAACTGAATGGAATCAATTAAGTAATTTAATAACTTTTGGTAGATGGGTAAAACTATGTCTTGCTTACCTGAAATGTATATCTTGTGGGCCACTGATTATATAAATATATATTTTATATAGCTTACAAATATTTTACAGTTCACATAATAGTATAATAATACTTTCGTATTATAGATTGTAAATTGTAATATTAGTAGTATCATTGATTAAATACTAGTATTATAATAGTATTGTTCTGTTAGTATTTATAATATATTTATCAGTGTTTATATCTAGGTACTAAAATATTAAATTATAACTTTATAAGTAATTTATAAATATTAAAATATTTACAGCATAAACATAACTCATTGATGACAAGGGTTAATAATTCGAGGCAAAATAAGGGAGAAAAAACTGCTCAAATTAAAATGTATGATGTGCATACAAAAAAAGTATCCAAGGAAAAGGTAATTTGATCCATAAAACATATTAAGTAGGTACATTTTAATTTATGTGTAGGTGATAGATATAGATCATTATTTTACTACTCTCAATAATAAATTGTGTAAATAATGTGGTACCTATGATCTAATTAACTTTAAAAAATACAATTCCATTTTAGATTTTACAATGTCAAAGTAATATTTATATTAAATACTAAATAGGTACCTAGTGTTTAATATTATGTATTAAATAAATACTTAAAATTAACTATCTAAATGTAAGTAAGGATTTAATTATAATTCTTGATAAATCATCAAATTAAATATTGGAATAGTTGCATACAGTTTAATTTTTGCACACATATGTATCAAGAAAAAAAATTATATTTAGTTTAACATTAAAAAAAAAACATTACGTATTTTAGGATTAATTAGATACCATTTTATTAAGACTAATAAAGTAATAAAATATAAATTATAATAATAAAGTTTATTCAAATATATTAAATTATTTATTTAACCTATTGCCGGAAGTTTAGTTTACATCACAAGCTATGCAGATTGCAGATGGATTTAATAGATGGGATGGTTTTTTAAAAATATTATTCTATATAAACCTATGTTTATGCTATTTTTCTTAAAACCCTATTCTAATGAGAAGCACTGAAATATGACTAATGTTGATTTTTCTAATCTTGTTTAATACTATAGTTGATATCATTTGATACCAATATTTCTAATGTATTAAGTATTATTTTGTTTTCAGATCAGTGAATTAGTGTTTAATTATATAGTAGATGAAATGCGGCCTTTGGTCACTTGTGAAAAAAAGAGTTTTCGAAATTTACTATTAGGATTAACTGGATTAAATGATTCATCTATTCTTCCTAACAGAAAGCACATGTCAAAACAGTTATCAGTAACATATAAAGCATATGTAGATATGTTAACAACTCAAATTGAAACCCATAATTATATTTGCTTAACAGCAGATATTTGGAGCTCCAACAACAAGAGTTTTATGGGTAATTGTAACTATAATAAAGAATCATTTAAAAATAAAATAATAAAAATATGGCTTATTGTGTTTTAGGGATGACATGTCATTTCATTGAAGATACATATGATAGAAAGTCATATGTTCTTGGCTGTCAACGAGTTAAAGGAGCTCATAATTATTTAAATATTATGGAAGTATTAACAGAAATTATGGATAAATTCAAAATAGATGTATCGAAAGTTACACACATTGTAACAGATAACGCTAGTAACTTTGGAAAATCGTTCAAAGTATTCTCTTCATCGTCATTACCTGAAATACAGCAAACAAGTTTGCAATGTACAGGAAATTTTCATGAAGAAGATGATTTAAGTAGCTGTAGCTCAGACAATGAAATGGACAGTGAAGATTCAGACATAGAAATAGTCGAAATGGATTCAATATTTTCAAATACAAAAAATATTGAGAAAGACAATGACAAAATGTGTTTACCACAAAATATGAGATGTTGCGCTCATACGCTAAGCTTAATTGCAACATGTGACGTTTCAAAAATTACAGATGCCAACTACGTTAAAGTTTCAAAATCTACATTTAATAAATTGTCTAGTTTTTGGAACCTTGTTAGCAGGAGCACAGTGGCTTCTGATAAAGTTTTTGAAAATTGTGGATGTAAGTTTCCTGTTCCTGTTGTTACGAGATGGAATTCTTTATTTGATGCTGCACAAAAAATCATAAGTCACAAAGATAAATTAGTTTCAACATTCGGTGAACTAAATTTGACCAAGTTAAAAGCTAATGAATGGGTATTCTTAGAAGAATTTTGCAAAATAATGCAGCCATTAGCCACGTCATTGGATAAATTGCAAAGCGAAAAAAAAAGCTTTTTGGGTTTTGTTGCACCAACTATTTTAGTATTAAGACGTTTATTAATTCAATCGTCAACAGAAGTAAAATATTGTAAACCACTAAGTATTGCCATTATTTCTGGGTTGGAGAAAAGATTTCATTTTATATTTGATTTAACTACTCCTAAGAGTAAAGACTTTATTATTGCTTCTATTAGTAATCCAAAATTCAAATTAAATTGGGTTCCAGTTAGATACAAAGATATGTGCAGTAAACTATTTATGGATGAATGTAAAATATTTGTATTAAATCAATCAAACTATAATATGTCAGTAAACATTGATGATGGAGAAAGTGATGAAAGTGACAATGACTTCTATTCCAGTTTCAACAAGTTTAATCCAGCTACATCTAGTAACAACAGTGACATATCAGACACATTAGATTCCAGTGAATCAAGACAGTTGAACCTTATAAATTTACAAGTTTTAACTTATTTTAATTCCAAGAAGAAGGAATTAGATTTATTAGATGATTTCCCTAATATTAAACAAATTTTTTTGAAATACAATACTACGCTGCCATCTTCTGCGCCTGTTGAAAGACTCTTCAGTGGAGCCGTCCAAGTATTTACAGCCAGACGAAACCGCCTCAATGATCATACTTTTGAGATGTTGTTATGTTGCCGTTCAAATAATCGATATTAATATATTATTTTCGAATATAATTACATTACTACATAAGTCTTGTTAACAAATAATATCATCTAATAAAGTATTAAAGTGCAATACATTTATTTATAATGTTAAAATGTGATTATGAAGTTTTACAGGCTAATTATCAATAACTGTATGTATAAAAAAATGAATTTGATTCTTTAGGTGACTAGGTGAGATCTTGGAAAATTGTATTTACATGCAAATTATCATAATCACCTATAAAATTGAGTGTAAAAATTAATAATACCTATTTTAGGTTTTTGATATGTAAAATATTGAATTTATCTATTTTATTATCTAGATAATATAGGTAAATTTTATCTTTATCTAGATAAAAAAAATATTTATTATCTTTATCTGTATCTAGATAATTTTTTATGAAATTATCTGTATCTTATCTAGATAATTTTTTTGTTATCTGGACTCAACACTGGTCAAGACCCTGAACCAAGAAATCAACATAAAGTTGTATTCTCCAAGGGCAGAATATACATATTCGGTGGCACGGGAGGTCATGCTGAGAATATTATTCACTATGGTTTTTCGTTTAGTGTAAGATCTTTCATTTATATTTTTAAATATGGTATTTTCAACACATTTACTTTTTATTCAATCCTATTCAGTCTTTTATGAATTTAAACCATTTTATGAATGAATTATTTTTACTAAGTGAATTTATTTTAAAGAAATAAAATAATAACTTTAAAATTTATCGAAATAATGATGTAAATTTAAGGCCATATGTTAGTTGCAATATTTAGTAAATTTACTGAATTACTGGTCATTAAAGACAATAACTATATTTTTAGTTGATAACATTAATTCCTAGCCATATTAAATAATGAATAACTGTCTCAAACAATGATGAAATATGTATGTATTACTTAGTCATTATCATGAGTGTACAAATTTAAACAATGATGTAAATTACTACGGATTATAATTGTTTCCTAAAATGACAATACTAGTCTCCAATGATCTTGGCAAGGTTTATTATTGACAATATCAGAATTTACATCATTGGTGCAAATATATATTTTAAAGTATAAGTACAATCAATAAATACCGAATATTATAATCCATGATAATATAAATATATACGATATGTCGATATGTCATTCCTCTGCAGGACATACAAACCAAATTATTAAAATATATGTCAATAGCAATCTTATTACTAACCGAATAGTTTTCAATTTGAATAAAATTAATTTAGTGACATTGTAACATAGGAAATTATTATTATTAATTTTCAATAAGTTTCTTTAAAATAGTAGTAACAAAATATAAATCATAATACATCTAACACCTACATATTAAAAAAGTCGATCTGCTGTACAGTAGGTTACAAGCGTGGGTCACTGCATAATGGATGGTATTAAATTTGAATTCAATGATATATTATCATTGTATAAGAAAAACGATTCTGAGGCGATGGGAGACGGTAGTCAAGTCTAGGTATGAGACATTGACCTATTTTAGGTACCTACCTATAATAAACTCCGAATTAATCATATCACAATATATATTAGGTAGTTTAGTAGTTACTTATAACGCGTTATACATCAACAAAACCGTGATACTATCACAGATATATAATAGTATACTTTAGAAGTTTCAAGTCCCCACGAATAATACTATACAATCACAACAAAATAACTAAAATAGTTGTTCTAGGTTTTTTTATTATGTATAAAAACATTTTTCATTATGTATAAATTTGAACTTAAAATCACTAAAAATAAACTGTTTTTATGTATTTTTTTTAGATTTGTTGATAACATAATTAAGTACATACATGGAATATTGTTTTAAATTTCCAATCCTTAGTTATAAAAGTTGAAAATTTTATAAATTTTTAACTACAAAATAATTATTCAATTTTTAATTTTTAATAATTTTGTCAAAATTCGATTTTTAAATGCTTATAAAAATAAATTGTGAGTATGTATTTTTAATGTTTTTCTTCTTTTATTGTAACAATATACCAGGAGCCTTTTATTAAATTTTTACACTTTTTGTCTCAACAGGTAAAACCTAATTGATATTCATAGACAAAAAAACTAAAAAAGTTGAAAACTGAAAATGTCCGTAAATAGCTCAAAAATAGTCAAAATATTTTGTACAGTGTATAGGAAATGCTAATATAAACATTCAGAGACATTTTCAAGTATTTACCGTTATTCGTTTTTGAATTAAAAAAAAATAAGAAAATCGCTACATGAGAAATCGAGTTAATATCGAATGTTGTAAAAAATTGAATTTCAAACCCTCATAAAAATTTTATTTGCTTTTCTTATAGACATTTTTTTTTTGATCAAGGTAGAAAATCATATAAGGAATCTTGTATAACATTTTAAAATTTTAGATTTAGAGTTAAACATTTTTACGAATTCTTAACTCAAAATAATTTGCTAATTTTTGTGATTTTTACATATTTTGTCAATTTTTCAACTTTAAATGCTTATAAAAAAAAAACTGTGATTAAGGATTTTAATATTTTTCAAGAGTCATTGCAACAATGTAGTAGTAGCCTTGCATTAAATTTTCAAGTATTTTTAATCAACAAATAAAGTTTTATTCACATTCATAGAAAAAAAAAACTAATACAATTTTAAACTGAACCATTAATATTTATATTGTTAAAAGGAAAGAACTTTTACTGTAATTTAAAATGATTCGTGACTTAAGTGAAATTGTAATTAATAATTTGATTATAAATAATAGATTGTTGATAATAATAATTAATAACAATTAAAATATTATAACTAGAGAGCGGATTTCAATGTACAATGCAATTTTTTCTGAAATATTTCTTTCCAAGCCAAATTTCAATTATTACATTAGAGATTTAAAAATTAAACATTTATTTTCCTGTTATTTTTTAAGCATTTTTAGACATTTTAATTGTTTTTTTTTATCTTCACATACTTGATATAATTGATTTAAGTTTAATTAGTTAATAGTATTGTTATTTTTAAAATAGTAAATTAAAGACAAAGAATTAAGAAAACCTATTATATGAATGAGGATATTCAGTCAACATTTGAGTTGATGATAACATCTACGCCTGATGTATGTCAAACTTTATGAGAGATCTTATCAAATGAAATCAAAATCATTCATAAGCACGTCAAACAAATTATTTAGCAATGAAACAAGAAAACATAGAAACTTAGCATCCCTCTTGTCTATAATGTGCATAGTGGCATAGTGCATACACTATATGTTTACTATAACCAGTGGCGTACGCAGGGAGGGTTCTAACGGGCTAAAGGCCCCTCCCCCCATTGCCCGTATTATTATTATTTAAAAAAAAATATTTTTATCAAGTTTCAACTGTCAACTATAGTAAGCAAGACGTGAATTCCATATATATGTCTTACCAGGATGAATTCATTTTTGAAAAAACATTGTATTTGCATAAAAATTTTCCTAAAATTATCTGTAATTTTTCGGTAATAGTATGAACTACTTGTATGAAAGACTTAGTATTAAATTGTCCAGCCTTAGCTATACACATGTAATATTTTATAAGTTTTGAATTACAAATTATCTGTGGTTTTGACGAAATTTGAACTTTAAATTCTTTTAAAAAATAACCATGATGCCTATGTTAATATTTTTGCTATAATAAAAACGTACGTATTACATTGTTAAGATTTTTGACCGGATAAATAATTTTTTATTGAAATTTATAGAAAAAACAAAAATTTATTAATCAATCACAATCCAAGTGATGACGGTATAACTAAGCTGATTCCCAAACAATTTTAACAAATTTTCATTTTTTTCCCCCAATTATTTTAAAAAGCACTGAGCATTTTCAATTTCGACCTCCTAGAAATACCAAATAGATCCAATTTGCTTTCAAAAACATACATCGGGTATCGAAGTTTATGATCAGGGCATTTTTTCTACCAGAAAAGTTGAGAAGTTACAAAAATTTTAAAATACCTCAAATAAACATCTGAAATATAATTATTATATTATTAGGAAGATAGTTAAAACTGTCTGGCAAGACACATTATGGCCGACGGTAATATTACTGCCGTAACGTCGCTCACTCAGTCGGATATGCATTTTATACTCGACTTGAAGGTAATATCAGGCTATTATCATTATTGTTGTGCACTTGTGCGCACCCTCGAAACCGGAAGTTTTGCGGAGGCAACAGATTAAACGCGCCGTATATACATAACATTATAATATATAGTTTATACGTGCAGTACACGTGTGACTTTATACTATTACTAGATTCTGGTGTTTGTCATCCCGCCTACGGCGGAAAGACTGTGCCGCTTCGTTTTAATATCGTTTCCGGTCTCCGTCGTCGGCGATAAAACGGCGCGCACGTTATAGCAGATATGATGGTGTTGTCCCGTGTCCGTTATTATTATTATAATTATTATATTAAATATAAAATATAACAATGTACCTATATTATAAATTATAATACGAGAGTCCAATATAATCGTATAATAACATATAATATATATTTACGAAAATAGCTCAGATGTAAATGTGTATAATAATAAATAATAATATATAATGTATACCGGTCGCTCGCGGAGAGGGTGAATCGCGTACTATCGTACGACGGGACATATTATTATTATAATATTTACGTGTGTGTGTATGTGCAGGGCCCTCGTCTTCCGTTGGATTATTGCATCCGTGCAGGGTGGGAGGCGTTTAGACCGAAATCGCGGTGTTTCGTTTACACCTGACCTTAACGTCATTACTACGACTCACGTCGCGAGCTTAAAACAAACGGCTGACAACGGGTGGTGGGCCGGTGCAGGGTTGATAATGGACGACGTTTCACCCTCGCCGCGGCAGGTCTGAGTCGCGGACGGGCTTAGCGTGACGCTCTGCAGCGGCAGTACTAAAACATATATACCTAGGTATAATAATATGTGCCCCGACTCACTTATCCGCCGTGGTAATGCGTATTGCCGTCAAACGACGGTTTTCGCTGGCTGACC